GTGAATTTCTAGTGTGATACTTGTTGAAATAAATTGAAGAAATATATAAATAATTCAACTGCTTTCCATCATCACATAATTTGAAGAACATGACTTCCACTTCCCCATCATCTTCACCATATGGCACACTGGACATTTGTCATTTCTCCGGAACTATCGTTGAAATATATCAGGAACTCCAGAACTCTTTCAAATACATCGAAATTTCTAATCAAAACTCTTTTCTGTGAAAAAAGCAGCGCCGCGTGAAGTTAGCACCCACAATTTTGTTTTTCGGTTATTTTCTATAATTAACCACAACTATTGAAATTTTTTTGCCAGGAACTCCAGAACTCTATCGTATCTACCCAGAACTCCGATAAAAATTCAGTTTTTCAAAAAAGTCGGTGCCAACTTCACATAAGTTCAGACTTGGCTGCAATCTCCGTGGGACATGAAATGAAACCTCAGAGTCCAAGGGCCAGTAAAAAAGCCAGTTTTATCAGCCTTCGGTTAATAGATCGAGACCAGGAATATTCTTCCGATAGAATATTTATTGTTTCTGTCTCCTATATCACATGGCTTTTTAATGATAAGCCACAGAAGAGTTTTCTTTGAATGCTCTTGGACGCAGATGCCTACAGCCATTTCTGGTTTGGCGATGAACGGGGTAGTTTCAAGAGCCAAGGAGCACTGAAAACTTTTAGTTCAGCTATTCGGAATCTCTTCACTCTCTACCTTCAGAATGCTAAGCAATCCCTTCTAGATATAAGCCCATACACGCCCATACAGCATGCTCACTCTTTTCATTTTAGAGTCGACGAGAATGTTTCATCAAATGGTCGTAGGTCGTAAAAGGTTTCCTTAGCGAGATAGGCACTAGGCGTGTAAGTTGAGAATGACAAAATATGTTCAGTTGAATAGGCGTGTACACCTCAGCAGAACTTTCAACTCAAACCATGTTTATGATGATCCTCTTAAACATAAATAATGATTGACGACATAATTCGATCGGAAAATTAACTGGAATGTTTCATTTTTGGACATAAATAAAAGTACCTTCTGAAAACAGACCTTATGACGTACACCTCATCTCGCCATAGTTGAAAGAAAATACCAATCGCCCGACGGACACTGAGGCAACTGATATATCAATTCTTTCAACTGTGATCTCGCGTTGATTCACTCTGTCAGAAATCATGTATCATTCATCTCTGTCTGGAATAGTCTTGTTTCAGTATTAGGGTTTTGACGTCGCATCATCGGCTCGATTCCAGAGGTCGAAAAAATCGGGGATTTCAATAATGTTGCTCGAATTTTGTATAAAACGTAGGGAGCTCACAGCAAGAAACGGTTTGCGGTCGTGTGCTAGTTTGGGTGAGTTCTATCGAATCATGCAATAAATTTTTTTTGTGATATAAGCCCATTGCTAGAAAAACGCTCCAAAAATCAATGGAATTTTGGATTAATCACAATGAATGTAGTACTTGAGTACATGAGAGCGATCGAATGGATAATATAGGATATATGTCTGATTTTGCAGAAAAAACATGACGATGAAAAGAAATAACTGTTGAATCTTTGCTCATAGTGTCTCAGTGTCATATCCACAATAGTTTCCTTTATGCCTCTTGCTTCTTGTCTCAAAAATGTTTTCCTTTCCTCTAGCCTTTGTTCTTTTCACTTGACAGGATCATTTCCCATCTTCCTAGCCACCTCATTTTCCAATTATCTCTTTTTTAGTTTTTCCGAGATTTTTCCTTTTAACCTTGTTTCTATGAGACATCAGAATTTTCTGCTATCAATAAATTCAGTATGAAACCGTATCAAACTTCATCATAGTGGGTAGTGAAGAATCATTTCCGTGAAAACTAAATACTAAATCATTTTCGTGACACTAAAAAACATGATGGAGATGACGAACAGGAGAATGATATTTTGTCTGTTAAATTGGAATTTGAATTTCATTCCAATGAATTCAGATGTAATTAATTCAACAAGTGATGTATGGGTCTTTGAGGTATGATTGGCTGATATATTGCATTTGGATAAAAAGGGGAAATATATTTTCACCCTCTCGGGAATAACTGACTGTCTGGGTACAGACCTTACTTAGTCAACAAAACCAGGAACAACTTCGGATATATACAACTATACACCCCATTTCACTCCAGAATTGTAACTGACATGATTCAACCTGATTGTTACATCTCATTAAAATTTTTCAACATTCATCTCCTCTTCGAAATTCGAAATTTAAGTGTTGACACGGTAATGACTGCATTACCTGAGCGACGAGCTGATAGACATATACTTCAATATTGGAAAATAAAATAAATAATAGTTTTTGCTTCATGACATTTTTAATGGTTTCAACTATCATACTTATGGACTCATTTTCATGCAAATTGGTAAGTTCAAGATGTTTTTTTTTTTTCAAAATGAATTAATCCATTAGCGCCTACCGGCACCGTATGGTACCACTAATCAGGTGTCCACTTTTCGACCTCTCGTGGCCATACCGTTATGTTTAGTGGAATTGCACGTGAGCCAGGCGTTGGTTTAGAGACGAATGAACACATTGTGCGCTGTTTCGATTTGGTGTGAAGTGTTCCACGCGTTTCACACAAGTTACAATATCATCAGATATCAGTTGTCAAGAAAACATGGACTTTCGATTAGTGTAAATATTGTAATATGAATACGCTTCAGAGTCTGAGCATTTCAAGTAAATTTTATCTTTCCTAGAAGACAATGTTCATTATAATATATTTTGCATAAAACAATTTTCTTTTGTCATATTTGTTTTTGAAGCGTGAACAATGCTGATGCCATATGGTACCGCTAGGCGGTTTACTGTCAAGAATGATTGATATATGATGTGCAATATTTTAGAAGACTGACGTTGCAAGATGCATTGGAAATTGCATATGATGAGTCAGAAGAAATGGGTGACGTCAGAGATATTTTCATAGAACCTCCGGAAAGTCATATTTTGGCTGACGAAAACTCGGCGGACGAGGACACAGGGGGTTTGCTCCTGCAGAAATTGTGTTGAATGATAATTCTAGAATAGGTGGTACAGATGAACCTACAGGAATAGAACATATCAATAACACAGAAAAATGGAGATTGCGAGAGAAATTGAATCAAAATCAAGGGCGAATGCATAAACACGATAAAACTCATGATGAAAAGAATGATTATATTTTGATGAAAGTCAGAAAACCTGAACATATCAGTTTTTGTCAGTTAGGAGATCTAGAACCTTCAAAACATGTTTTTCCTGAAAGCCAATGGTTACGGTGCTACTGGTACTGTACGAGATAATAGAATACCTGAGGAATGTCCTCTTGTATCTGAAAAAGACCTGATGAAACGGAATAGAGGTGATTTTTCTTCTGCGTTGGAGAAAAATTCAGGAGTGATTTTTGTGCCATGGATGGACAGCAGTCCTGTTACATTGGCAAACACATTTTTTTCATTCCACGTCCAGATGTCGTCTTGCAGTACAACAAGAATATGGGAGGAACTGATCTAATGGATGGTAATATTGCTTGGTAATATATACATATTTGTATTCGTTACTGAAACTGAAAGATATTTTGATTTACCAGTTATCGCATTATCGGAATTAGATCGAAAAAATGGTATTGCCAATTTTTACATATTTTATCGATGCTGCAGTGCAAAATGCATGGAACCTCCACAGAAAAACTGGTTGAAATATAAGTCAATTGGAGTTCAGAAGGAATATTGTACAGGTCATTCATAGAATGTCAAGATAATTATATAATCAACATTCGATTTGTGTTTCAGACATATTTGACACGATTCAAAAACGAACCAAAAGGCCCAGGTCGAACATCAAAGGCATCTGGCAGCGACTTTCGAGTTGATGAAAACGTTAGGTACGATGGAATGCATCACTATGTGGTTCAGACACAAGAAGCAGAGCGGAGAAGATGTGCAAGATCTCTGTGTAAAAGCAGAATTAGAACAATGTGCCTAAAATGTAACGTTGCATAGAGTGTTTCAAAGATTTCCACACTAAATAAAGTTATTTCTCTTGATTTTTTAATTTTCATAGAGTCGAAACAGAATGGTCAGTGTAGCGCCTAGCGGTACCATATGGTACCACCTTTTTTCTCAAAAGCTATCAGGAATTTTTTTGCGAATATGGTATTCTCTGTCCGAATATACATAGTTTGTCAGCTTACAGCCAAAAAAAAATTAAATTTGAAAAAAAATTAATCCCGGCGCTAATGGGTTAATTGATATTCAGTCTCCTTCAATGAATTTCATGGCGAAGACATGACATGGGAATGACTATTGAGACTTTCTTCGTCAAATAAAAACTATATCATGAAGAAAATCCAATGATATTAGATATTCAACACATAGTCATGAATACAATTTGCGAGACAATTTGGTACTCTACCTATTTTCTCGAAGCTTGCAGAATTATTAGATTTTTTTTCCTCACCATACAACAAATTACTCATTTTTTGGGAAATCACTCAATTATTGGTGCCAACTTTTCAAAGACTGAAAATATTTCAGATAAGTAGATTGATAATGATCGATTATAACAGCATAACATAGGTAGGTTCTTACCGAATTTTGATGGTTTCAATTTAACTAAGTTTAAAAACTTTCATTGTGCGAATGAGGTGAAAAAATCAATGTAAAATATGCTTTTGGAAGAATTCAGAAAGATAAAGGCTTCCGAAATTCAGCTGAAAAAATACAGGTCTGCTAGATTCGGTACCTAGCAAATAACATCATTGGGTGGTGTGGTATTGCACTCTGGTACTATATTTATATTTTGAGGTTCCTGATGTCATAACCTTACTCAACCTTACCTAACCTCAAAACTAGTACAACCCTAAACGATAAAATCTTATCGACAAAACGACAATCCATGCATGACCTATACATATATATACCTATGCCGGTGTTCACACTTCCTGTCTATTAATTTTTCCTGACAGAAGAATAGAGAGACAAAGTTCACTTACACAAAATCAGTATTCTGAAAGAGGACTTATAAATCAGCAAATCGTCCCACTTGATCGCGAATGAACTACGCGTTCCTGTACTTATAAACATCGACACACACTGCACTGATTATTGTATGTAGCTATTCGATGTATTAAACACATGATAATAATTACTAATGCGCCTGAGATGGTGTGGAGGATGATAATTATTGTTTATAAACCGACAGGCAGAAAGGGACCAGAATGTTCTCTCTGTCTCGTTCAGCATCATTCTATTATTCTTCCGCCGTCCATAATAGAAAGTCGATAATAAAACGAGTTAGCTACCGCCCTCTGTTACCAACGAACACAACTAGGCATATACCCACGATAGGAAACTATAATGCTTATTCTCACATGTTCTCTTAGTTGCTCTCAGTTCCATCAATGCATCACACGCGGCGTCTAGCGGGGATGATTACAGAGATATAGGGTGTTCAAAAACAACAAATTTAATTTTGAAAATTGTTTGTGTCAAAACTATTATAATCGGCCAGAACGACTCACATGTCTCTATATCAACTTTTGATTATATCTTCTGACATCGAATTGGAAAAAAATACAGGGTGGTCCAAAAGATTCAGAATTCTGATCACCCTGTATCTGTTATGCTAGTGGTAGTATTTTTTGAGATCTTCGAATCATGTCGTATATGTTTATATTTTGCTATCGCGAGTATCGCGTATTATTAACGTTCAGGATATCTTTAGGAACTCGCAGATTTTCTCGTTTGTGATACTCTCTGGATGACTAGAAGAACTCACAATAACAGTTTCTGATTCAGATTACGTTCGGGTCAACTGTACGAACTCGCAGTGAGAATATCTCGTTTACGTTACATATACGTGATAGCTTCAGAAATTCGCAACAAGAATTTTCCGTTCAGGTTACGTTCCAGCTAGCTTAAGGAATTCGCAGTAAGAACTTCTGATTCATGTTAATTCCGTATTAACTTTGGTGATTCGTTGTGGAAATGAAATCGATAACTGAAAGGTGAGGTTAGAAAGATTTCTATATATTGGACTTCAAGAAGAATTTGCTAATAGCGCACATAGCGATCTTTACTACCTCACGATAGGAGTTCGCGTTTGTGTTACCTGGGTAAATTATTGATATTGTACCAGTATATCACCTGACAAAGCTACTGTGTTATAGCAAAACATGCTGTGTGTTCGAGGATTTCGTGGAAATCTTATCGTTTGTTAAGTTTTCACATTTGCACAAATAAAGCAATGTCGTGTCATCTGCAAATAATTCGAGTTTTCTTCTCAATCCCAAGCTTGATATTAATAATAATAATAATGATGAATGCTTTTATTGTCTCAATGAAACAAAAAGCAGAGTTCAACTCGCCGATAAATCGACAGCTGCTCTTCTACTCAACCCTATTAAATTTATATAGATCGAGAATAAAACTGGTCCCATGACTGACCCTTGCGATACACTGCAAGAGATGTTCAGTAAAGAGCTGCAAGTATCACTCACAACAACATAATTATATTGCTTTTTATTTGATGAATAATTATGGAAACAATCATGAATCCTTCCTCTGACACTAATTGCAAATAAATCAATCAATAAAATGATATGGTTCACAGTATCAAAAGCTTTGCATAAATCTAATGACGATGAATCGCAATGATAATTTCAATCGATTCGTAATTGTATATCTGAAATAAAATTCATAACTTCAGTGTCTATCGATCGACGGAATCTATACCGACCACTGAATAGCAGATTGTTATTCTCCAGGAATTCAAGTAGACGATGGTTCATATTTTTTTTTATATCTTTTGAAAGAACCATGACAACAGAAATGGGTATGTGATCATACGTATATACTCTCTCCTACCAGTTTTGTTCACAGGCAATAGTTTCACAATTTTCATTTTGTCAGGAATAATTCCACTTTCAAATGAATTTGAAATAGTTATCAACAAGATAGGAGTCAATTTATATTTGTTTAAGTTCACAAAATTATGAGTTATATAATCAAATCCACAAGACTTCCGTACATTCAAGTTGTCAACAATATCTTCAACTTCAACTTTCAACCCAAATAAAACGCTTGAATGATCTATTATACTGGGTCAGAAATCTAAGTAATTTTTTACGATAAATTTGTACCAACATTGATGAAATGGTGATTGATTGCACTAGTCATCTCATTTCCAATTTCAATATCATCCACTGTATTTTATTCAATATGTTCTGTCTCATTTCTTGATTCATCATATACAGCAGTGAATTGATACCATTCCAAACTAATTTGGGGTACTATTGAAGAAATGATAATCATAACATTTCCTGATTGTTTCTCTGATTGTTTATTTTAAAAATTCAATATGGAAGTTGAATTTATGATCAATATAATTAATATCAGGATATATTTCTTCATTAATGAAATTGATCTCGTTACTCAATTAATCTTTGGATAATCGAATATTCACTTCCTCTCTGGATTCATTGCTCTCCGGAAATAAATAAATGTTCATATCACCGAAGAAATAACTCACATATTTGAACTTATCGATATTTCCAAGCATCATATTCATGAAACTCAGGAATTAATTTATATTCCGGTCTTGCGGCCGATAAATGCCACAGAGTAACATATCTGGGGATTCAATTTTGATTGCCGAATACGTCAAAATGGATTCTTCTTCTTGAATTATCTCGAAATTCAGATTTTCATGGATGAAAATTCCAACACCACCTCCTCCTGTTCTTCTACGACTAGCATAGACTGCATTGAAATTCTTGGAATTGAAATATTTCTCCTCTTCCTTATTCATCCATGTTTCACTCACTATGATGGCTGCAACTTTCAATTATTCACTGATGATGATTCCTAGTCCATTTATTTGATATTTGACCGATCCTGAATTGAGATATAAAATATTCATTCTGTTGATGTCATGAACTTGAACATCATTGATCGAAGTTATTTATGATGACTTTATAGACTGATTCGTATAAGTAATAATGCTGTTTTTTTATAGTTATAACCAATCTGAGATTTGAGAAGATTCAGATGGAATTTGTCAGTGGAACACTTTTCGTCTTCTGCTGAATGATTCACAAAATATTTTTTTATAGCGGTTATTGATGTGCGGTTATTGTGATTAACACAATAATAACATTTCAGTTCATTGCTTTCATAGACTGTGATTCCATGTGATCCACCACAACGGAGGCATGCTATTCCATTTTAACACTCATTTATCTTGATTGAATCCAGAACATTGATTGCATTATGAAATAATGTTGTGGTCATATACTGTCAAATTCAACCAACCAACAAATGATTCACTATAATTTCTTGTCATGATTTTGTTCATTAGTCTCCCATCAATTTTAGCAAATATTGTATGTGTTTTCGATCTCTCAGAATATTTCATGAAATCAATATGAAGATTATCTCCTTCCTGAATTATTGAATTTTGTTGAATAATAATCTTTTCTGATTCTCCTTTCGGTATATCGCTTCCCAATTCCATATTTGGTATTTCAATGACAGGCTTGATTAATTGTGTCATCCTTGCGTCATATTACGAAGGTAATTCTTCAATAATTTCTTGTTTGACTTTTTCAATTTCTTCCTCATCCTTGCATCCAATTATCATATCGTCATCACGCATTTCTCTCATATAATGTATTCCTTCACCAAGTTTACTCCTTTTTATATTTCTTTGTAATTTTTCTCTTGTTTTCGAAGATGCCTGATCATTTTTTGATTTTAATATTAGGGTATGTTCATTTCGCTTGTATGGAGAAACATAATTTGTTCTCAGAACATCAGAGTAGCTCAAATAATTTGCTTTTATTCAATTTTTTTCATGGATGATTGAAATTTTTTTCTCAATATGGTATGGAGTTTCCATTATATTATTGCAATAGATCATATTGGAAACTTCTTGATTTATAATTTTCCTTGAATCTTTCATTGAGTTCCGTTGAATATTTGACTCTTTTATCCCTTTCGGCAATCAGTATATCTTCTTGTTCAATTATTTCTCTACCTGCGTCTGATTCGAATAAATCACTTTGAAAAGCACTGACACCGCTCAAATTGAAATGTTCGCCAGATTGAGAATGATCGGAAATATCGTATTCAACATGAGTCTTTTCATCACACGTATCTTCATTTCGTTTCTCTCTTCTCATTCTTCCCGAATCATGAGATTATTTTGTTCATGATATAACAATTCAAGAATTAACAAATATCTGTGGAAGAATGCCTAATAGTCATTCTGACTTCCATATAAAAAATACTCCCATTCAAGTTTCATAAGATATGATGACTAATTGAAAAAAATCCCTTACTCCGCTATATGTATACTGTATAGCCCCATATCGAAGCTTGCACAGCTTCATTACTTCAAAATAAGAATACGCCGTATGGATAATGGTGTACGTATTATTTATATAAAAAAATGTGAATGGTCGGAAAACTCAGATGAGCATCAATTTTATAATAATGTATGGTGGACGGGACTATTGCCAACTGTGGTCGTGTATTGAGATGCTCCTATCAAAGTCAATTTCTACAGTACAAAAGTGCATTCAAAAGTTTGGAAGTGGTACCTAAGCTACCGTGAGTAATTCATCTAACTGGTGGACCTAATTCCAATACATGATATACTGTATACGTTAGAAAGAGGCAATTCAACACAACTTAGTTCTTGGTGAAAATACACAGAAGTCAATCATTGGCACCATAGACTGTGAAAATATCGAACTGTGATACTTGTGGTGAAAGACCGCAAGCGAAACATAAACTTGACTATGAGTGCTGTAGAAAAGTCTTTCATACTGAGTGTGTTGACGTTGATGAAGGTCAGTTTCAATCCTACATCGTCGTTGATGCCATCTGGTTATGCACTGGTTGCAATGCAAAAGTTATTATTAGACCATAGTAACGAACGCTACAGCAATTTCTCACATTCAGAATCGCCTCAAGATGATTTTAGATCAGCGAAATCACACTCTAACCAAAATAGAGATATACGACCAAGATATGGAAAACCTGAAAGCTAACATGCCTCAATCGAGGATATCACTGGTCATGATAGGATAATTGAAATGCTAGAAACTGTCTTGAAGACATTCGAAGATACGAATAATCTTTTTGAAACTGAAATGGATAATTTTCAACAGAGCAGTCGGATCAATTGTTT